GCCAAGTCACTTCCCCTCTGAGCCTCAGTATTCTTGTTTTGAAAGCCGGGACTCATGCCACCTGCAGAATAAAGATGCGGTGCACGCTTAACGAGATGATGTGGCAGTGTCTCGTGCGCAGTGGTTGTTATGGAAACAGGGCTCCGTTCGGACCCCCTTGCTCTCCACGGGCTCACTTTCTCGCCCTCCTGTCGGACTGGCCCTCCTGGACTCCGTGCCCTCATGCAGCTCTCCCGCTCACTCAGTGCTCACCGTCGGCACCTCGTCCTGGAGAGTCAGATAGAGCAGGGCAAGCCCCACGCCCGTCGCAGACTCCAGGGCCTCGTCCTCTTCCCTCCATCCTGTCATCCCAACACCGCCTGAAGGCGCGCGTAGGGTCACCTTTGTTCCCAGACACCTTCACTCCTGTGTGCGCCCAGGTCTTGCCTCATGTTATTAAATCCAAACAAAACACACCCCTTCCATGCCACCCAAACTGGAAGTCTCACTTCCTCCTTCCTCCCTGCAAGCGCAGCCCACGCGGCGTCCGGCTTCTGAGGGCACGTGTGGCCGCAGCACCCAGCTCACCTGTGGCCCTCCTGGGCTGGCGGCAGGTTGCACAGAGAGGCAGAGCAGGAAGGGGGGCTCGCACAGCAGCTGGTAGGCTTGTTTGCTGTGCCTTCTGGGGGCTCTTTCTCCACTCTTCGGTCAAGGAGGGCTCCAGCTCCCAGCCTGCTGACCTATTCCCTTTAAACATCTTGGTATTTCTTTTTTTCTGGGGTGGGTTGGGTTTTGGTTTTGTTTTTAGAGAGATTTTTGCTAGAGGGCATGTGTGGGCACTGGAGAGACAGACAGAAAGCAAGAAACCACTCCCAGAGGGAATAGTCATGCCACAATCCCTTCTCCTCCATTCTCCTCTCGGTATTTTAGGCATGCAAACACACATGCCTGGCATGAGTTTTAAGCTGCCGGATCTGGGACTCGAACTCTGGTTGACTACGTGGGAGTCCAGCAACATAACCATTATGCCATCTGCTGGCCCCTAAACATCCTGAAGAGAAGCCTGTTTGTCTCCACAGTCTGCAGAGTGACTAGAACGCAACTATTGAGAAAACCCATGGGCCCTGGTGTGGAGGAATCTCCACCTGCATCTGTGCAAGGGGCCAGCTCGGAAATCCACACAGTTTGCTTGGATGCTGCTAGTACTGGTCTACGGCTGGAACTGAGAACCACACACACACCTCCGATAAGAAATAACGAGAAAACGTGACTAGAAATGAAGTCTCATTCACAATCGCGCCTAAAGTAGAAACTTCGACGCTGCTAAGAGCGAGTTTAGCAGGAAGCGCACGAGGAAGACGGCCGGCACGAAGGAGACCTTAAGCCTTGGCAGGGTCAGGAGCAAAGGCAGAGCATCTCGTGTCTGGGCTCTTGGAAGGGAACTTGGTGACCATAAAGTTCTTTTTCAAGAGTAAATTTGGGACATTAGTGAAGAAATTTTGGAGGAAAAATAGGAAGGACTTTCCCTGTGGGAACATTGAAATAAGAGCGTAAAGCCACCGTTAGCTGTCACAGGTAGAAGCCAACACAGGCACGGGGGCACGTGGAACCGAGCAGACAGCCTGGGGACAGGCCCACGGTCACAGGGACACCTCAAAGCAGAGGGGAGCCAGATTATCCAGAAAGAACCAGGTGTGTCTTCCTTCCCCAGGTCTCCTGGGCCCCATCTAAAGGGTCAGACAGCCCAGGCATGGAGCGGTGGCAGCAAGACCTGGCCCTGCCCTTGGGGAAATCACAGCCCTGAGGGAGAGGAAGAGTAGACCAATGAGAAGTGAGGGACAGACGGACGCGCGCTCGTGGGAGCCAGCAGGGCGTTCAGACAGACCGACCACGGCACAGGCTCCGTCAGATAGGCACTGGGATGGCTGAATGTCTGTTCAGGAAAACAATGGCTCTATCAGCCTAAAAACTGAATCCATACAACCTCTGAGAAACATGTGGGTTTTCATTACTCTAGAGGGTGGTGGGAGAGGTGGTGGGAGAGAGTGTAGCATGGCATTCGGCATCCTTAAAGGAAAAGATGAACATGCTTGATTACCTGAAGCGAATTGCTTCTGTAGCAAAGCAAACACCACACACAAAACTTGAAAGGAAAAGGCACCAGATGCAGGAGAAAATACTAGCAGCAAATACATAAAAGAGAAATCAAAATAGACAAAGATAATACGTAGAAATCATCAGGGATAAATGGAATTGTAGAAGACCTACGGGCAGCATGGTGAAGATGGTTGGATCCCACATGACACACTAGATGATTCCAATCCCAAACCCTGCAGCTTCAAAATGCGCCATGTGGGGCCGGCAGATGGCGTAATGGTTATGTCGTTGGACTCCCAGGTAGTTGACCATGGTTCGAGTCCTGGACCCAGCAGCTTAAAACTCATGCCAGGCACATGTGCGTGCATACCCAAGATCTCAAGAAGAGCAGTGATTGCAGTGTGGCCATCCCCCGGGGATGGGGGGCATGATTTTTCGCTTTCTGTCTGTCTCTGTTAAGCACACACACCCTATAGCAAAAATCACTCTTAAATTAAGATTTTAAAAGTGCCAGGTACATGTGCCTGGATTCCCAAACACCCTATAGCAAAAATCACTCTTAAATTAAGGTTTTAAAAGTGCCAGGTACATGTGCATGCGTGCCTGGATTCCCAACTGTGCGTGCGTGCCCAAGATCCCGAGAGGAGAATGGAGGAGAAGGGATTGCGGCGTGACCATCCCCCCTGGGGGGTGATTTCTCGCTTTCCGTC